GCGGGAGTGGAGGAAGCCTCAGCTCATTAACTATCCTCTGGCATGTGGAGCATTTGCTGTGGGCCAGGCAGGGTGCCAGGTGCTTTAAATACATTCTCTTGTGCAAGCCTTACAATAGCAACGTTAACAGGTATTATCCTAGCTCCCATTTACCTGTGGGGCAACTGCTGTCAGAGAGGTCAAATACACAGTCGAAGGTCACACGTTCCGTACAGAGTCAGGATTTAAACTTAGGCTTGTTGGACTCCAAAACCCAAACCGTCAAAACCCATAACTCTATCTTGTCTAAATGATGGTGGAGGGTGGGTTGCAACCCAACCAGCAACCCTTTTCCTTCTCCCTCCAATCCATCTACATATACTCTTAAACCTCATGTTCTCCTCGAGGGATGGATTTCTGTTTCGCCTGCATTGTGTCGAGTGTTGCCCCATCTCATTCTGGCCAGGGAGCAGGTACTTGGGAAGTTGAAGCTGCTGGGTCATGGTCCCAGGGTCCCATCCACATAAGCTCAGTAGGTGGGGCCAGATGGCTGTGACCCTGAGTGGCTCTGGCCAGAAAGCTCTGCTGGAACCATCCATCCTCTCCTTTCTCTTTTCCTGGCATTTTCTCCCTGCCCTTCCCTCCCCTGCAGCCATGTATCTCATTCGTCCCCATCTGCTGAACCCACTGGAACCCGGGGGCCCAGATGCATGCCTGCACTTCTGCCAGGGCACGCCGAAGGCACCAGACCAGACAGGGCTGCAGTGGCCAAAAGCTGGCGGTGAGGTTGGCTCTGTGAGAGGACGTGGGCTGTGGAAAGATGCCAGCTGACTCTAGGCAGAGCCTTCCACCCAGCATCTGGGGGGAGAAATTGGGGAATTTCTGTATTTACTGGAAAGAGCAAAGGCATATCTTTCAGGAAAAGTTCTGAGACCGATTTTCTCTCCCGCTGACCTCACCTTCCTCTCGTGAGCCTGCTGGGGAACTTCGAAAAGATTAGTCACTCCTGTTAATTCATTACTCATTTGGTTAGATGGAGACGGGTCTTTTCTGAGCTTTATGCTCAGAAACTCAGGTGTTCCAAAACTGAATTCACCGTCCTCCTCTCCATGTACACTCCTCCTCCCAGGCCCCCTGTCTCCACACGTGGCCTTGCCCACTTCCTGGCCCTCAGGCTGGAAATGCTGTACCTTTTCCTCCACCTGCAGGAGCCCTGGATCAGGTCCCTCCCCACATCCCCACTGCCCCAGCCTTTGGTCCAGCCCTCATTCTCTCTCCCCTAGGCTGTTATGACAGCCCTCCCTCCTCTGCTGGATGCTGCCCTTAATATCAGCCATGTGCCAAGCCATCAAGATGCCTCTGCACAGAAGTCAGCAACAGGGTGCTGCCATTTTCAGAAAACCTTAAACTAAACACATAACTGAGCCCCATGCTGGACAAGAGGACCACTGAGGGGCGAGGAAGAGTTAAGAAGGGGAAGATGATTCTATGCAGATTGTGAGCAAAGACAGACAATGAAAGTGTCCTGTGGGGAACTTGAGTAGTATGACCTCGATGAATTTTGAAAGGAAAGATGTTGCAGTTATCTAGTGCTGCATAACAAGCAACCCAGAACATAGTGCTTAAAACAATGACAGCATTTGGTTTGCTCATGAATCTGCCATCTGTATAAGATGTGATGAGGATAGCTCATTTCTGTTCCACGTGGCATTGAAGGCTGGAGCTAGAATCCTCTGAAGGCTCACTCAGTAACATGTCTGGCAGTTGATGCTGGCAGCAGGCTGAAACTTTAGCTGGAGCTGTCGGCTGTTACACCAACACGTGGCCTCTCCATGAGCTGGGAAGACTGGGCTTCCTTACAATGTGACGTCTGGGTTCCAAGGGTCCCCAGAGAGAAAGAGCCGGGTGGATTCTCTATCGACTCAGGACTTAGCCTCAGAGGTCACATAGCATCGATTCTGCTTCGTTCTCTTCATTAGAAACAAGTAGCTAAGACTGACCCATACTGAAGGGGAGGGAGCACAGACCCCATCACTTGATGAAGGAATGTCATTGTCACATTGAAAGAGGTGTATGTGGGGTGGGAGATACTGATGTCAGCATCTTTGTAAAATACAATCAGCCACAGCAGGATATGGAGCCAAAGAGGCAGGCAGGGTCTAGGATGGTAGTGTCTGGGACACCATGCCAAGGGCGGTGGTTTTTATCTTGTAGGACGTGGGGAGCCAGTGAGAGGTGTTAATTTGGGTGTAACCTACTCACATTTGTGTTTGAGAAAGCTCTTTCTGGGGTGGTGGGGTGGAAGGTTTGAAGAGGGCAGACAGGAGACCTGTGAGAGGCTGTTGCAGTAATCTAGGGGAGAGAGGAAAGGGCCTGAGGCAAGGCATGACCTGGAGGTGAAGGGCAGGTCAAGTACGAGAGGCACACAAAAGAAATCACAAGGCTTAGCAATGGCGCCAGATGCCAGGGGTGAGGAACGGGGGCATCTAGGAAGATTCGCAGTTTCTGAGTTGGGGAACTGAGTGAAGGTGATGGGGGATGAAGGAAAAACAGGAGGGGTTTGTGGGGGAGGACAATAAGCCATATTTGGGAAGTGATTAGTCCGAGGGGTCTGATAGTGTCCAGGTGGACACGTCCAGTAGACAGTGGGATGGGCTTGAGTGTAAAGCTCTGGGGAAAGTTCTGGATGAGGGACTGAGATGTGGGCCCCACAAATGAGATTTCCAATGAATGTGTGCAGGAAGGGTGCCATGTCCAGACAAGGGGACTATGGGCAGTAGTCTGGGGGCATTAGCCTTAGGGGATGGTCAGAAGAGGATCTGGCAAGGCATCCAGGATGGAATTGCCTCCTTCCTGTCTCTGGCCTGGACCAGGGCCTCAGGGCTCAAGCATGCACTGATGCCCTGTGTCCATGGAAAATAATCTGACCTGGACAAATCCTCACACTCTCCCCCTCACCGTCACCATCACCCTCACCGTCTTGTGTTGCTTTCCTGTCAGCCTGTTCCACAGCTCCTGGCTTCCTTTCTACTTTATAGTGGAAACTCCTATAGATTAGGGGATGTCTCCATTTGGTTTGTTTTTCTCTTCCTAATCTTCACATCTTACTCTCCGCACACAAATGGTCGGAGCCAGAACATGTCCTCTAGTCTCATCATAACGCCCATTGCCCATCAGATTCTGCTGGAGGAGCTTTTCCAAATAACGCGTTTGGGGCTGCGCTTCTACCAGTTTTGATTCGGTAGGCCTGGGCTTGGGCCTGGCCTCTCTATTTCAAAGACACTGCCCCACCACCAGCTGATTATGAACCAAAGCTGAGTTAAGAACCACCAAGTAGCCCACTTACCTCATAGGTGGGGAAACCAAAGGCCCAAGAGGGGGTGTTGTCTATGGTTGCTCCATCGTGTGTGAGGCGGGGCCAGAACTGGTCCACTCCAGACAGCTCAAGTGCCTGGCACTTAAGCCAGAGTGCCTACTACATGCAAGGTGCTGTGCGAGGCCCTCGGGTTCCCCCTCTCTGGACCTCAGTTTCCCCAGTTGTAGAAGAGAGTGCAACTACATTATTTTCAAAAATACCTTTATCACAAACTATTAAGAATTCCCGTGAATATGAAATGAAGCAGAGCGGAGCCTCCTTCGGGAGGCAGGGATGGAGTGCTCCCTCTGTATCCGGGTGGACGGCGTCCTTCTGCCACCGGTGAGGGGTGAGGTGGCTGCGTGGGCTCAGGGCAGACGGCAGTTTGGAAAGGTGTCTGATTTCATGGGTGTGATGACCTTCTCGGATCTGGAGGCTGCCAACATGGCTGCATGGGCACAGACAGACAGTGCTGGCCCTGTTGGAAGCGCCAGGCTGGCCTCGCAAAGGCTCTGCCCTGGCAGGTAGGAGAGGGGTCAGCTCTGATCCCACAGCCTGGCATGGGGCCCTGCAGTGGGGGTAGGCTGGGCTCTGCAAGGAAGCGGAAATGAAGGTGGAGCCCCAGCAGCTCCCCTGAGATGCCAGCCCTTCAATTAAGGGAAGAGCTTTGGCTGACTATGAAACATAATGGCACCCCACCCTTCCCTGGAGGAAAAGTGCGATCTCCAGAAGGGGCACCTTCCAGGGGGGCTCGGGGTTGTGGGACTCCTGGCTTTAAGCCTGCTCTGGTCGGGCCCAATAGCCGAGAGCCCAGGAGGCCCAGCACTCAGCCTGGAGCCAACTCCAGATGCCACAAACCCCTCTCCACCCTCCCTGCCATGTATCTGTCCCTGTCCCCCACGGAACTGAACTCACATTTCCTCGTACCACAGGACAAGGCATATGGGGCAGGATGGGATGCAGAGACCATGGCCTGGCCTTCCCAGGGTCCTTGTCATCCTCCTAGAAAGGAGCAGGCACAATCACACACACCCTGATAAGAGGTGATAACAGGCCTGGGGACAGTCATTCAAACCAAGTGGTTTGAGAACCCATCGCAGTGCCTCATTGGGGTATCAGAGGTGGGCCTTGGAGGATGGATGTTGATGGGGGAGAGGGAAAGGGAGGATATGTCAAGAGGAGTGGGACAATGTGACCTAGGGCTTGTTTGTGCCCCTGGAAGTGACCTGAATTGGCCAGAGAGTGGCCTTCAGCCCTCACAGGACACAGGAGGGAGGGCAGAGCAGCAGCCCTCAATGGTGCTGTCAGAGAAGAATTCAAGGTGCCGAATTCCCTGGGCTATGGCTGATAAGTCAGGCCCTTCCCTGGTAGTGGTGGGGAGGACAGGTGCTTACCCAACCCTGTGATTTTACTGGGCCATTTATGATAACGGTGGAATGGTGGGAATGGCTAACCACTTTGAGTAGGTCTGCAGGTGAAACACGGGTATAACCATGACAGCATTTCACTCTCAGGACCACCCAGTGAAGTACTTTCCAAGTAACAGGGGAGGAAACAGGCTAGGCTGCTGGGCCTCCATGCCCCAGAGGCCCCAGAATGGAAGGCCAAGGTGGGCGGCCAGGGCTCCCTGTCCACAGGCCTCACGGGCCAAGGTCTCTTCCGCCAGGTGTTCGTGCTCTGCCACGGCCTCCTGCAGCTCTGCCAGCTCCTGTACAGCGCCTACTTCAAGAGCAGCCTCACCACCATCGAGAAGCGCTTTGGCCTCTCCAGTTCTTCTTCGGGTCTCATTTCCAGCTTGAATGAGGTAAGCAGGAGGTTCTGGACCATCGGACCCCGCTCGTGCACCACCCTGATCATGGGGTCCGGGAGGGGGCTCCAGGAGGAGGAGAGGAACAGGAAGCTGGGATGTACACATGGGGAATGGAGACAGCCAGATGCAACAGGCATGGTGGGAGCAGCTACATTTCCTGCAACTTCCCTGCACCAGGCACTGAGCTGAGAGCCTCTGGTGGCGCCTGACCTCGGGGCCACTCACAGCAGCTCTGCGAGCAGGTGCTCCACTCCTCCCTCCAACAGATGAGGGCACTGGGGCTCAGCAAGGGCAGCGGCTTGTCCCATGTGTGCAGGGCTGTCTGCCTCCAAACTCTGCCTCTAATCGAGTTGTGTGACCACCCGTGTGTTTATGTGGCCTCTGCCTGTCCCCAGTCCAGGGGGAGATGAGCCCCTGGCATGCAGGTGGGGAAACAGCCCCAGGCCTGGCAGCTTCTATCTTAAGAGGGTCACAGGAGCCAGAGCTGCCCAATGGCCTTGACTCCCAGACAAGGTCAGATCTCTGTGACCTCCCAACAACATGGATTTCATGTGATCCCTCAGTGACTGCACATCAAAGTTAGTGGAATATAGGGTAGGCCAGGAGGTCAGGGGTAGGAGGTCAGAGGGCAGGGTCAGCTAGGAGTCACTGGAAGCCAGGGAGAAGGAGGCAGGGGAGGCAGCAGTGCCTCTCCCTCCATCGTGGCTGCAACCTCGGCGGCTCCAGGTGAGGAGATGGGGCTCCCAGGCCTGGCTTCTCTCTCGTCTTTCCACCAGGGCCACTGTTCTGCAGTGGAGGCTGCGGCCTCGCCCTCCTGGGAGCCCCTGCTTCTCTGGAGCATAATTAGGTCTTCCCTCCACTTAGTGCAATTCTGGGTGATGTAGTAATTTAGAGACTGGGGCTCCCTGAGGGCAGCTGCTGAGATGGAGCGCTAAAAGAAGTGGGGTGTCTCCTAACACCCCCAACCACTATCACCTTTCAGTCTCCCCATCCCCCAACCTGCTCCTGGCTGGAAAGGCCCCTTTGCCCATCACTCCTTCTCCACCCGATGGCCCGCACAGCAGTGCCCCCAGGATGCCCTCCCTGTGCCTGATCCCCCTGCCGTTCTAGGAGGAGGGCTCTCTTCATAGCCCTATTTCCAGCTACGAAACTCGCATAGGAAAGCCCAAGTCCCCCATCCCAGGTTGGCCACACGTGTGTACACAGTGCAGCCAGGATCTGAGCCCAGGCCTGTCTGATGGCTGCCATGCTAAGGCCTCCCTCTTAGTCCCCAACCACCTCTTCTACCGCCCCTCCCCAGTCCCTTGTCCACAAGCCCTGCTCTGCCCAAAACCTTGTCCTCCCAACATCGCTGGAATCTCTGTTGGTGCCCTCTCTGCATGCACTCCCCCTACGCGGGCTGTTCCCTCACACCTGGGACATGCACATACTTGCACATATGCAGCCTGTAGCCCATCAGTCGTCCCTGCTGGCCCAATGGGCCTCAGACCCTGTCCTCTGAACTCCCTGGCCATGTACATGCCTCCACTGCTTTCTCTGTGTGTGTCTGTGTCTGTGTGTTTTAATGTCTGTGTATCTGTGTGTGTGTGTACACACGTGTATCTCTGTCTGTCTGATTGTGCATCTGTGTCTTGAGCTTCCTGGTGATGCCCTTAGTCTGCCTTTCCATGTAGGTTGTGCTCTCCTACAGAACAGGGACTGGGCACCCCTCATACAGAATGTACCCTCATAAATGTTGGCCTGTGACATTGACAATGCCCTGGCATATATTGTCCTCACTCATGAAGGACACAGGGAAGACAAGTCTCTAACATTCATGTCAACACAGTCCTATCCTGACGCTGTCAGGCATCACTAACCGACCACAGTCCTCTTCCCTGCTGAGTCCAGACTCTGAATCCCTCTCAACACAGTGTTCTAGCACTGCTACTAATCAATATCAGAGCCAGCATGTAGGGTAATCCTCTCTCCACCACAGCCTAGATGGTAGCTGAATCAATGGTCTTCCATGGTTAAATTTTCATTCCTGTTTTTCCTATGCTTAGAACAAAAATGTGGGCAAAGGGGCAAGGAGTAGCCAGCTGGGACATGTGGCAGAGTCCATGACATGAGGTTTATTTTTTTATAGTTCAATAAAAAATGAAGATAATTCATTCCTTAAATCTTTTCTTTCCCAAACTCAGATGATCTTTTCAACAATCTGGTTTTAGACCATCTCTATGGGCATGGTTTTAGACAAATACCATAAGAAAGTTCATTCCTCGGACCTAATATCCTATGTGCCTGTGTGGGATTGTGTGTGTGTCTGTCTGTGTGTGTATCTGTGTCTGTGTGTATCTGAGTATTTGTGTGTGTCTGTGTGTATGACTATATGTGTATATCTGTGATCTGCGTGTGTGAGACTGTGTGTGTGTCTCTGTGTATGTGTCTGTGTGTATCCATCTGTGTGTCTGTGTGCATATTTGTGTGTGTGTGTGTGTCTGTCTGTGTGTCGGGGGAAAGGGTGGATGGGTGAGTATGTGGAGAAGATAGGACAGGAACTCAGCCAAAGGGCTTTCAACACTCCCGTTGATTCTGACCCAGGCATTTAGAAACAGACCAAGTAGCAAAGTAGGGGTTTTACCAGGAAAGCAGAAAGCAGCCAAATCAGAGGGGACCTTCATGGTCAAGCTCGAGGCTCCCAGCTTTTGTGGTAGGCAGTAAGGAACGGGCATGGAGGACAGTGCATCCAGAAGTCGACTGGCTGGCAAGCTGTTGCCACTTAGTCAGGCTTGAGAAGCTACAGGAGAAGAGGACCCCAGGGATACTGAAAAAGAAGAAAAGGCAGGATTCCAGCTGCTCGAGGGCAGGATTGAAGGCACCACAGACCATGGGGAGGCTGCCTGTCAGAAGCCTGAGGGATGTGAGAGGAGAACCACGCCTGGTGGAGGGGGAAGGTGAGGCCACCTGGAGGTGTGAGTGTGCGGCCAGCCTCCAGGGGGCGTGAGCCTCCGGGCTGCAGCCCAGTCTCAAAGCCTTCTGGGGGCCCAGCGGGGAAGGGGAAGGGGGGACCAGGGCTGGGTGTAAAAGGCAAGAGGAGGAGTTTGGCTCACAGGAGAAGACGTTGGACATCTTCCCTGTGAAGCAGCAGCTTCTCTTGCCCACTACTAAAGGCCAGGGCCGAGCAGACAAAGCCCGTGGGAGCCCTAGAGGTCCCCCTCAACCTGAATGCCTCCTACCAGTTTGCCGGGAGGCCCCTTTGGTTTGAGACATTGATGGGCAGGGGTACGTTGTAACAACTTGCAGGTGGTCTAACAGGAGGTCCACAGAGCTGTTTTAGGGGCCACTTCAGGGCTGAGGGGCTGAGGCCTGGATGCAGAGGCTGTCTTCTCCTCAGCTAGAACAGCTTCATTTTTATACATTTTTATATTAGAGAAAAATTGTTTTTTCAAAGAGACTCCACTGCTGAAGAAAAGTTTGGGAACCAAGGTTTTAGGCCAGCATCAGCCATAACAGCTGTGGCGGTCCAGCCTCCCTCCGAGAAACAAGCCCAGGTCCTGGGACAGCGAGAGCTGGAAGGGCCTCTCCAGATGAACAGGCCGCAGGCACCCCAGTCCTTCCTCCCTGAGCCCCCGTTTGGGGCCCTCCCCCATGCCTCCCCCAGACCTTTTAAAGTCAGCCTCTGTTAGCTCAGCGGATACGGTCCGACATTTACAACCATTTCATGAAAAATGATAGGGAAATAAAATCAAAGAAGCATAAATAAAGCTTTATTTCCAGGTACAGGTTTCAGAATGTCCTAGAACCACGTCTATCCAGGGGCTGGAGCAGCTCCCTGGATCAGGCGAGGCTGCCTCCTCACACATCTTCACATCCCCTTTCTCTGTGTACCATAAACCATCTTACTCTTGGCCACACCGGCGGGATCTCCTGGGTAATTGTGTCTTCTTCTTGAAAAAGCCAACCATTTACTCCTTCATTCATTCATTTATTCAACAAATATTTAATGAGCACCGGCTATGTATCAGATATCATTCTAGGTGCTGGGGAGACAGGAATGAACAGACAGGCAAAATCTCTTCTCATATATCATTCTAATGATAGAATGACATTTATTTTTAGAAATAAAATATGGGAGATCAGATTACATAAGTGATATGAAGAAAAATAAAGTTGTGGAGGGGAGGGGTGGTTATATTTTAAATAACTTTTTATTCTTTAAATTATATTTAAAGGGCCGGCCCCGTGGCTTAGCGGTTAAATGCGCGTGCTCCGCTGCTGGCGGCCCGGGTTCGGATCCCGGGCGCACACCGACGCACCGCTTCTCCGGCCATGCTGAGGCCGCGTCCCACGTACAGCAACTAGAGGGATGTGCAGCTATGACATACAACTATCTACTGGGGCTTTGGGGGAAAAAGCATAAATAAATAAAATTATTAAATTATATTTAAATAATATAATTTAAATTATAAAATATATTTAAATATGATTTAAATTTTAAGATATGTTTAAATATACTATAACATTATTATTAATTATTGTAAATATATTTAAATAACTCCTTTTTTATTGAGATGTAATTGAAATTTAATGTTATATTCATTTCAAGTGTACAACGTAGTGATTCAATATTTGTATATATTGTGAAATGATCACCATGATAAGTCTAGTTAACAATCATCACCATACATAGTTAAAAATTTTTTTCTCATGATCAGAACTTTTAAGATCTACTTTCTTAGCAACTTTCAAATATACAATCAGTATCATTAACTATAGTCACCATGCTATACATTACATCCCCAGGACTTATTTATCTTATAACTGGAAGTTTGTACCGTTTGCCACCCATGTCATCCACTCCCATCCCCCTTCATTTTCGGAGAAGGCCTTAATGAGAAGGTTCAATCTGAGCAGAGATCTCAAGTAGGTTCGATGAGAAGGGGGCCCCAGCGAGCACACAGGCCCTGAGGAGGGCATGCACTTGCTGTGTTCAAAGAATAGGCGGAGGCAGAGCGGCTGGAGTGGAGGGAGGGAGCGGGGAGAGGTAGGAGAGCAGATCTGAGCTGGAACAGAGAAGGGGGGTAGGCTCCGGGGGCTCTGGAGGCTTGGAGACAGACTTGGCCTTTTATTGTTGTGGGTTTGAGCAGAGGGAACATGGTCTGACATTTCATCAGTACCTGTCTGGCTGCTGGCTAGAGAAGAGACCGCAGCGATGCAAGAGTGGAGGCAGGGAGCCAAGTAGGAGGCTACTACAGTAATTCATACAGGATATGATGGTGGCTTAGACCAGGTGGCAGTGGTGGAGGTGGTGAGAAGTGGTCAGCTTCTGGGTGGCTATCGAAGGTCCAGCCAATGGGATTTGCAGATGGTTGGATGTGGGTATGAAAAAGCAGTCAAGGATGATGCTCAGATGTTCTGCTTGAGCCACTGGTAGGATGGAAGTGCCATTTACTGAGATGAGGAGGACTGGGGAGGGGGAACCAGGTTTTTGGGGGGAAGATGAGGAGTGAGATTTGGGTTACGCTAAGCCTGTGGGAATTAGAAGCACATACAGAACATATAAAGCCATGGTACTGGATGAGCTCACCAAGACAAGAGCAGAGGTGCAGGGACTGAGCTCTGAGAGTTGAGAGTTCAACCAGCCAGGGAGACTGAGAAAGAGCAGCCAGGGGAAGGAACTAGGAGAAGGTGGTGTCATGGAAACTCAGCGAAGGAAGTGTTTCAGGAAGAAAGAAATGGTCAACTGACTCAATGGTGCTGAGAGATCAAGTAAGAAGAGAATGGAGAACTGACCAGTGGATTTGGCGATGAGGAGGTCGTCGGTAATCTTGGCAAGACTCACACAGCAAGACTCTGACCCCTATGTCCTGAGACAGCGGCAGCTGCTTTTCCAGCCAGAAGGAGACTGTGGTGTGGCCAGGGCGGGGGCTGTGGGTGCTGACATTCAGGGCTCCTCCAGTCCAAGTGAATTTACTCCCTCTTCTGGGGCAGAAGATCATCTCTTTGGACGGAGTCGTGGTCAGAAGATCTGCCAGCACCCCCTTTTACCATTTAAGACCCTGTTTCTCAAGCTAGGGTCTCAGTTCCCTTCCCTGGCTCTGGGTGGGGCTCAGAGAGCACACCTTCCAGGGAGCACCAGGAACATGGAGTCACTGATGTTTCTAGCTGGGAAGGGCCTCGGGGTGCTTTAGTCCTCATCCCTCATCGACAGAAGTGGGAGCCAGCCCCGGGGAGGGCCAGGGGCAGGTTAGGGGCAGAGCTGCTGGGGCAGAAACTCACTTCTCCAAGAAGCAGTAGACCAGTCTGGTTAAGGCTATAACTTTCCCTGTTCAAGCCACCTCCTAACCCCAGGGACATGGGCAAGTCACTTAATATTCTGAGCCCCGATTTTATTGTCTGTAAAATGAGAGTTGTCGCCTGATGAAACGAGATAGTGCGTGTTGCTGAATGGTTACTCTGAATACCAAGCGGGCTTCTTGGGGAGTTTAACTAGGGAACATGTGCTGTGCCCAGGAGCCAGCCAGAACTGCATGCTTCCTTGGATTTTGCCCCAAAAGTTTTGGTCCTAAGATAGTTGAAATTTAGGCTATGAGCTGTTCATGGTCTTCAATTACTTCCCTTGGTCTGGTCTAGAAGGCTGAGGCTGGGCACGGTTTCTGACAATGCGAGAGCTAAAACTGTTCATGCTCTGCCCCCTGCGAGGCTCTCTGGTCAGGGCTGACACTGCAGCTATGCTAGGCCCCAGCTGACGCTGGGCATCCTCTTGCCTCTCTGCTTTTCCTGGACAAGGTACAGTCAGCTCTCCTCTGTGGGTGGGTGAGGACGGAGTCTCTGGTCTCACTCGGCCCCTCTACTCTCTCTACAGATCAGCAACGCCATCCTTATCATCTTCGTCAGCTACTTTGGCAGCCGGGTGCACCGTCCGCGGCTGATTGGCATTGGGGGTCTCCTCCTAGCCTCAGGTGCCTTCGTCCTCACCCTCCCACACTTCCTCTCAGAGCCCTACCAATACACCTTGGCCAGCGTTGGTAAGTGGCCTTGACCCCTGCCCCGAGGGGAAAAGGAATGATCGGGCATCTCACAAAGTTGGTGGGGATGCTTCTGGGGCAATGGACACCACTCTGGGCCATGCTGTCCTCTCCCACCGGAGAGTTCCCTTGGCTTTTATTGTTTTGTTTCTCCCCAAAGCACATCTGGAAGTCAGAACATACAGAACTATGTGGAGCTATGGAGCAGCTATACCAGCTCCGGCTTGTGTGATTCTTTGTGATTCCCTGTGCTTCATGCCAGGAATGATCCACTGCACACAAGTGGGGATGTTTGTGAGCAGTGCCTGTGACAGGCTTAGCGGGAGGTGGTCACAGCGTTGACCATGACGAGCTCTGTGGACTTTCTCCACGTTTAATCATACATGTAACACTTCCTGACGTTTGTGCCTTTGTCCCTCATCCTTGAGGTTACAATGCACTTACACTATGATCTCACTTGATCCCCTGGACACCTGTGAAGGGGAGAGAAAAGTCTAAGATGAGAACTTGACACTCAAAGATGTCCAGTAGCTTTCCCAAGGACACCAGTCAGTTGGGGAGAAAAGACTTGGGCCTCCCGATTCTTAGACAAGTGGCCCTTCTGTGACGGGGAGCCTCTGATTCTTAGCGATGTGCCCTGTGGCAGGGAGAGATGCGTGAGGATTTTACATAATTCATAAACGCAGAATTAACACTGAACTACCTGATCAGAGTTCCCTTTTCTCTAAAAATTATTTTATTTTTAATATGAAAAATTCAAAATATAGCAAAGAAAATAATTTAACAGACACCTATATACTGACGATTAAGATTTACCAGTTTTCCTTCAGATACCTCTTTTCTTCTTTCTTTTTTGCTTTTAACAGCTTTATTGAGAGATAATTCACATACCATACAGTTCACTCATTTAAAGTGTACAATTCAATGGTTTTAATACATTGCTTTAAAATATATATAACACGAAATTTGTCATTTTAATCAATTTAAGTATACAATCAGTGGCATTAATTATATTCACGATGTTGTGCAACTGTCACCACTATTTCTATAATTGTTTCATCAACCCCAAGTGGAAACTCGGTACTCATTAACTCTCCATTTCTCCCTCCCCTCAGTCCCTGGTTACCTCTAATCTACTTTCTGTCTTTATGAATTTGCCCGTTCTAGATATTTCATACAAATGGAACCATACAATATTTGTTATTTTATACCTGGCTTATTGCACTTAGCATCATGTTTTCAAAGTTCACCCACGTAGCTTGTATCAGAACTTCATTCCTTTGTAGCTAAATAATATGCCATTGTATGGATACACCACATTCTATTTATCCATTCATCTGTTGATGGACACTTGGGTTGTCAGACACCTCTTTTTTAAAAAGAAAGGTTCTTTTTCCTTTTCTTATATATGGATGTTAAATGGTTTTAGCATCATTTGTCAAAAAGACTATCTTTTTTCCATTAAATTTTTTTTGCACCGTTATAAAAAATCAATTGGCTATATTTATTTGGGTCTATCTCTAGACTGTCTATTCTGTTCCATTAGTCTATGTGTCTGTTCCTTTGCCACTGTCACACTCTCTTGATTACTGCAGATTTATAGTTAAGTATTAAAATTGGGTAGTGTGAATCTTTCAAATTCATTCTTCTTTTTCAAAATTGTTTTATCTACTCTTTTTCTTTTGCCTTTCCGTATAAATTTTATATTCAGCTTGTCTATATCTTAAAAAAAATCCTCTGGAATTTTGATTAGAAATGCATTAAATTTATAGATCAATTTGGGGATAATTGACTTGTTTATTAAGTTGAGTCTGCCAATCCATGAGCACGGTATGCCTCAACACTACCCTTAGATTTTAACCTTGACCTGTGATTTAACAAACTCTCAAGCTGATGAATGTCTCTGTTCTCCAACAGAGCAAAACAAGGATCCTAGGGTGTTTTAATGCCCACCGTCCTCTCCCATCTTCCATGTTATTGTTGACTGGTGTTTTAGTTCCGCCTGTCTTTAATCTCCCCTCAGTGGTCATTATTATTGTAGTTGTTGTTATTTATGAATAAGTCAGTGCTTATTTATATTTACCCACAAGTTTACTGGTTTCTTTGCTCACATTGCTTCTTGTATTTCACCCATGCTTGTTGATTTAATTTCCTTGTTTTCCTGAAGTACAGCCGTTAGTATTACTTTCAGGTGGGCCCACGAGTGAGAAACTCTTTAAGTCTGTGTCTGAAAATGTCTTAATTTTACCCTTGCTCTTGAATTATAGTTTAGCTACAAACAGGATTTTAAATTCCCAGTTGTTTCCTCTCCGCACTCTGAAGGCACCATGCCTCTGTCTTCTGGCGTCTCTCTCATGGTATTGGGACTTCTCCATCAGCCTAATTGTCATCCCTTTTGACGTATTCTGTTTTTTCTCTCTAGTTGTCTTTAAGATTTTCTCCCTTCTTTGTTTTTCTTCATGTCCACCAAAAAGTGTCTGAGTAGGGGTTAATTTTTGCGTTTCTGCTTGGAAATTCAGTGTGCTATTTCTTTTGAAGATTAAAGTTTCTTTTTAATTCTGAAAAATTCTCAGGCAAAAATGTTCCCATTGTTGCATACTCCTATTTTCTCCATTCTTCCCTCTAGAGTCTTCTCTTTTGTAGTTTCCAGCACTTTATTTGTCTGTGCTGCATGCTGGATGATTTCCTCAGCCATGTCTCTCTGTTCACTTAGTCTCTCTCCAGCTCTGTTAATCTGATGTCTAACCCACAATCTACATTGTAAATTTTAATGGTTCCAATATATTTGGCTAATTTCTAAAAGTTTATGATACTTTTTCAAATCTCTCTGCCCTATTTTCATGGTTTCTTGGTATTTCCTTACCATTTCTATTTTTCTTTTGGTCTCTTCAATTATTTTAAATGTATTTATTTTATAGTCTTTTTCAGATTGTTCTATTAGCTCAAGTTTTGAGAATGCTAATCCTCCCATCTTTTGTGTCTGCTTGCTCTTGTTCACAGTGGATTATTTCCTTGTATGTTCTGTAATGTTTGACTGTGGTGTCATTTGCAGTGGGATTTTTTTTTCCCCCTGTAGAAATTTTGTGTGATCTGGGTTGGGAAGTAGCCCTACACAGTGGTTTTGCATTTGCAGTTACTTGGCACCCCAGGAACATCACTGCTTTGGAGCTAATTTTATGATAATTTATTGGCTTGGGATAAATTCACACTTGTTTTAAGGGATGTAGGAAGTCGAAGTGGTTTTGTGATGAGCAGCAGTGAGAGGCCCAATCCATAAATGCTTATCCTTAATCCACTGTATTAGAGTTGAAGACGTCTGAGGATAAATGAGCCACCCAGGGATGTGCTCAGGGAATAATTGATTCCTGTTTGCTTAAATATCAGAGGTTTTTTTTCAGTCATATGTGAGATCAGGTTCAAGAGATTAATCACTTAGAATGATAGAAAGGATTCCTTTATAGGTTTTGAGACCTACAGTGGGGAGAGGTAGCGGCTGGAATGGAAAAAGAATGGAGCCGGAACAGCAAGGCCTAAACGTGAAATATCTGTTGGGCTCTGCTCATGAGAATCTTTTCCCACTTCTGTGTAAATCACCAGGGAACTAATTATTTCTCATAAGTGCGTTGTGGCCTTGGATCTATTTGGACTATTTAAGGACCAAGTGCTGCTTCAAGTATACCTGGGAGGAACACAGACCCAAGCCTGGAGGTCCTGCCATGCTCTTTCTCCCCCTCAGTCTAGACAAGGGGTTTGAGGCCAGCTCTGAAGGAGAGTCAGAGAGCCGGCCACCCTCTCAGAGAGCCATTGGCCAAGCCCACCCATGGTCCCTGCCCTTCCCTGTCAGCATGAAGACTGGGCTAATGAAATCAGCAAGGGAGCCTGGAGCACTGGGGCCAGGCTGAGAGGAGGGCATCCTGCCAGGTGCCACACACCGTGACCTGCTTAGCCTGGTGGGTTGGCTACCCACGGCCTGGGCCACACACCAGTGACATTTGGTTCACAGAGAGCAGCCACCACAGAGGGTGGTTAGAGACGGGTGGGCCTCTGAAAGCAATCACTCTGCTTCTTGTTAGGGATGGTTTGTCAGCTTGGGTTCATTCAGCCCACCACAATCCTCCCTGCTCAGAGGGGAAGACTGCCGTTCTGCCTTGACCTCGGTGTTCTTAGCCAAACTCCACTGAGAGAGGACTGAAGGGGACTGTAAAGGACCACGGCTTGCCTCTCAGGCCTGCAGAGAGGAATAGCTGGCCAGGAGAGTGAACTTTTTCATTGTTGTTGCTCATTTTGTTTGTGTAAATTCTCTTTGCAACAATAGGACACAGCAGTCTGTTGCTCTGGCTGGGATCAGAGCAGCAGCTGGAAGTGCTCAGAGCTGAGCTACCTTCACGCCATCTTCCCAGTGCCAGTGGGTGGGATGAGGAAGGAGGACGTTGGCCCGGGAGCCACATCCGTGGGATCTAGCTGGGGCCATGCCCTGGGTGCCAATGCAGCATGAGCGTGTACTATGCTAAGATGTGCAAATAAAAATATTCATAAAGTCTCCCTTCATGGGAAAAGTTTGAAATGCGACTCCTACTTCAAATGTATTCCTATGGGAACTTTAGTTTTGAATTATGCAAGGTCATTAGGAGCAAACGAATTTCATTAAGTGCACCACCCTGAATGGTGTCGTGAATCTAAACGGTCTTCTGGAGTCAGGCGGTCTCCTGGCTGAATCCGGGCTTTGAGACTCCCTAACGGCACAGCCTTGGGTCACTTCCTCCCCCTCACAAGGCCGCAAGGGCTAAGAGGATGCGTGCTCAGAATTTAGCTCAGTGGCTGGCACGTGCAGTAACCATTAAGTGGTGGCTCTTGTATCTGGCCGTGGTGGAGACAATACATGTATTATGCTGGGTCCCACATGAGGAAGCATGCTGCTTCCTGTGGAGAGCGGAGTCTGACAGCTCATGGCTGACAGGCTGGACGCCCTGGGGCATCTGAAGGCGGCTTCTCCCTGGTCC